GGGCCATTACTTCAAGCAGCAGCAGGAAGGCCAGCTGTGCTCCTGTCACCTGTACATCTGGGCACAGGAAGCACCTGCTGAAGGCGGCTCATTTTCTGCTGGAGCAAGTGGGCCTGTGTGTCCATCACAGGTGCTCTAGATTCTAGAGGAAAAGGTGGCTTTAGGAAACTGGGGTTCCGGCTTCTCAGGTTCTACTCCTCCCATCTATCCACTCTCAGTGTGGCTGAGTCTCACGTTCACATACCCATGGGTGCAAGTGCCCAGCAGCACCCCTTGATCATGGTGCCCCAGGGCAGCACAGAGAGGCTCAGCGCTTGGGGATGACTTCACAACTCGTCTTGCCCAGGAGGTCACCAACGGCCCAGCAGGACAACCATTCCTGCTTATCTGAGTGTGTCCTGTCACACCAAACTCCGTGGTGACCTCCTCAAGGACAACCAAGCCCTCCTAGGAGGTCTCATCACCAGCCAGAGGCAGACCTCCCCACCTTTCCTTCTAAAAGATTGATGTTGAGTGGGAAGAGAGTGAGCAGCAGCAAGGGCTTGGGTAAGTCCTGCTTCTGTGAAGCGATGTAACCTTTCATAGTCCAGAGCATCATTATCACCTTTCAATGCTCACTTAAGAACAAGAAGCTATTTTACAACTCTACCAAATGTATATGTGGACTTTATATCAATAGACATGCTGTGTAAAGGGTCTATGTTCACTATACTTATGTATAGGTACACAATCATGTCTTTGTGTACTCATGCACATATTATATATGCAGAATGAATATTTTATGTGTATATATCTAAAATATATTTGCATATGCAAATCTGGTTTTTTGTTTGTTTGTTTGTTTGGGGATTTTTTTTGGTTTCTTTCCGGTACTGGAAATTGAACTCAAGACCTTGTGCTTTCCAGGCAGGCGCTGTGCCACTGAGCTAAATCCCCAGCCCCTCAAATCTGGTTTCATGGAGTCTTCCCACCTACTTACATCACAGCCACTGGAAGAATGCAGGGAAAATCAAAAGCATCCCACTATTTCATTTCTCAATTTTTCAGCATACATTTCTCAAAGTTAAGGACTTTTTAAAAAATAAGCCCAGTATTGTTATCATTTCTAAAAAAGTGCAGAAATGATCATTAAATATCCAACTATTTGAAATACTTTTCCAATAAACTTATACTTTTTTGAAGTAGCTTCTTTGAATGCATATGCAAATATGACCCACATAGTCATAATTTTTATTATGTCCTGTAAATCTTCATCTGCAGATTTCCTCCTCACCATCTCTTTTTCCTTTCAATCATTTTTTTAAAAACTCAAACCTTGAATTCTGTCCGGTTTTTCATACTCTGAACATTGTTGTAGGCACCATGGAGGTGTCTTTTAACATATTCTTTGCCCCTTAGCTTCTAAGGCTACATGGTGCTATTCCAGATTCATCTTGTATACATAGCCTTCTCTCGTCCTAAATGTAGCCATTTCTTCAAGAACTTCCGGTTCCTTCATTTCCAAAAGGTTGCAGCATTCTACATTGGGTTAATAACCGTGCTCATTGCTACCGGGGCAATGGCAGGTATGAGCCTTCTCTACTGATTCCACAATGAGTAAACATGTGTACACAACATGTGCATATACACAAATCTATAACCATTTACATATGTAAACTTCTGTTTCTATATTAAGTTAATTGAACATGACCTTGTACTGATGTCTCCAGCTGTAAGCTGTTTCTACAAAGATCATTCTGGCCACCTCCTCTAGATTAGCTATGGCCTCCCAGTCCATCAGTGAGAATCCTGGACCCCACCTGCCCTCCATTCTCCATGTAATTAATTGTCCTCTTTCAGTTTTCAAGAATAGAAGGTTCGGTTTGTGGAACCTACTCCTATACCCTTACAGGACACATGTTTTTCAATTGGAGTGCAGCATTTATTTGTTGTATCATTGATCTGGAGTCCCACAGGCGCCACTCATTTCCCCTGTTATTGAGATCAAGAATCTCATCCCATATGCTTCCCTGACATTGTGAAAAGATGTGTAATACAGTTAAGTGTTTTTTTTTCTTTTTTCTGACATTCTATATTCTGTGCTGTGGTTGCCCACATCTTATATATCATTTTAAATTGAATGCATCAAGGCTCACTCTTTGTGCTGTAAAGTTGTATGAGTTTTGACAAATGCAGACTGCTATTGTCTGAGTTCAGTAGGGCTACTGTAATAGTAACCTTTCCCGCTGCTGAATATAATACCTCACATTCATAACTAAAGGGAGCAAAGGGTTTGTTGGCTCACGTACTGAGTCTCTAATCAAATGGCCCCAAGGCAGGAAGAGCAAGAAGGAGTGTCTTGGAAGAGCAAAGCCGCTCAGTTCATGGTGGCTGGGAAGCAGAGCAGGGGAACAGTGCCAGGGAGGAAGGGACCAGGACCCAGATATAATACTCAAGGTCACGCTACCATGGTCTACCCAGACACACTCAGGAGCAGGTTTTAGTAATCTTCTAGGCATTTCTTTTTTTTTTTATTTTAAAGAATAAAAGAAGGATAACATAATAATAGGGGGGACTTAGCAAATTACAGACAAAATGGTAGGAAATTATCAATGGTTATCGTTTTAC